TTTGACTCTTGATGCTAGGGATCAATACATGAATTTTGCAAAACTTATATACATTGGTAGAGGATAGGAGATTTCTGTTAGCCATGTACATAATGCCTCTTTCGACTTTTGACTGCTCCTTGTCTCGGCTCCAAAGAGGGTGGTAAGAGAGTGATTCTAGTAAGAGCAAATCGGATAAAGGTTTTTTCCTCTTCAAGATCTTACTTCTGTGGTTTTGGGTGACAGAAATAGGAAATTCTATTAAAGCGCGTATTGCGTAATAATAGTTGAATCAAAGTTGAGCTGTAAGCTCTAAGAATTGTGTTGAAGAATCCATGTGTCGCTCAAACATTATTTATCTTTGTGAGGAAATTTTTAGTAATTAGTGATGAAACTTCTCTCTCTACTCTTTCGAAGGTGAAGAATCTATGTTCCTTTAGGATGAAAACATTTTATCGAAAATAGTCTTTCCACTGCATTGCAAAAGTCTTCCTTGATGAGTTATGAATCGTGTGGTAAACGGCTTTACTCTATTAGGATTTTACAGTACTAAGAGCACTTCTGTGTTTTTTCGTATTTAAACGGTGTGCTTTTCTTATTTGCAGACAAAATTTGCATGTTTGACATAGATTTTGCAGCTATCGATAGCAAGGACCATCCGAATCAAACACCAATCCCATTCTCGTACCTTGCAGTGTTTTCGTGTTAAAGGTGTTAATAAAATGATCCCTTGTTACGTAGATTTGCACAAAGGAACTACGTAATATTGCAGCTGATTTAGGTAATTTTGATTGCTTTTCACGAAGTCTCTGCCGTAGCTAGTTCCTCTGGAGGAAATGAATACTTTGTAACTCTTTTTTTCTTTATCAATGCTTTTCAGAAAGGCTTCCCCGAGCTCTAGACCCACTTTGTTCATTTGCAGCCCTACATATTCACGTTTTTGGATGACAAATATGCAGTGCTAATGTTTTCTAGATGTTGGTATTCCATATAAAAATATATAGAGATATTTCATTGTCTTTACGAGGTTTTTCTCTTCCATAAGTCATTCCCCCATAACTCTGTTGCTTGAATGTTTGTCAACCCAGTCGAAGGGAATCGCTCTACCACTAATAATTTCTTGGATTGTGCATTGCTTTGACAACATGATGATCGTAATCCC